ATAAAACAAAGCCAATCAAACACCAAAAAATACTTTTTTTTTTTATCATTTTCCACGTGAAAAATTATACCAATCAAACACAATAATTTACAACTTTCCGGAAAATAATTTCAAAGCAATTCAATTCCCTGGAATTCATTTTCTTTCCACCCAAATTTCATTTTCGAAATCAAATGGACCCTTGGGATTTGTGCAATTTGAAGCTTTTCAGAAGTCAAAACTACTGAAAAATCTAGGGCTCGTTTGATTTGTGTTTCAATTTTCAATTTTTTGTTTTGAGTTTATTTTCAATTTTTTATTTTGCAAGTGTAAACATGCCAACAAGTCTACTAAGAGTATGCAAAACCAATAACAAAATCCATATATTTTAATTATTCAAATAAATAGGGGGTTGGAAGATTGGAGAAAAAGAACGTTATAGCCAGATATATTGGACGGAGTAGACAGAACAGCGGAGCACCAATGACTAGAGGGCAGAGACTTAGGGTTTGGAGTGCTCCTGTCATATTGAGCGCACAAAGAAATGGAGTAAATTTAATGAATACTCGCTAAACTTAGTTTATATTATTACTTGCTTACTGAACATTAAATTATTACTTATTGCTCATTCATCTATCAAATAGTTTACCCATTAATCACTCATCTCGTTTTCCATCACCCTAAACTAACGGAATATGCTACGTGGCAATGGAAATCCAACGTGGCACATCACACAACATGAAAAATGGGCCAAAAGTGCAAAAAGCCCGTCTTGGACCTTTGTCTTCCCCCATCTTCTCCCTCCATTTCTCGGACCCTGAATACAGCCTAGTCCTTGATGTCCATGCCCATTATTCAGTGCAGCGGATTTGGGGCGCGATTTTTAGGGTTCACGAATTTGGGTTTTTGATTTAGGATGCTTCTTTCATGGGTATATTATGGCAAGAAAATGGAAGCTAGAACTGGGGGCAATTTTCAAGGTGCTTCACGGACTTGAAGGCGAATTTGGGTTTCGATAAATTAGAAATCCAAAAAACTTTCATAGAGACTAGGGGGGTCACATCTCTCACACAATGTTCTCAGAAAACTCGGCCGAAAGGTGAAGAGATCAACGATAGGAAAGGTGAACTTGGGCTACTGTTTATTTACTTGAATAGGCGTGGCAGCAACAGAGAAGGGTGACGATGGTATGGGCTGCATGGCTAGTAGTTAAGAGCAAGTGTGGTGTTAGGAGGAAGTGGATCTTTCGCCCCATGGTGGTGGGAAATTCCAGCCCACATTCCACTCCCTGTTGCCACTTTTGTGTTTTTTGGTTTGTTGTTAAAATTTGGAATTCCATCTTAAAATGTCAACTTTATTAAGAGGAGTAGTCTAAAACCTTATAAGTTGGTTTATGTTTCTATCTTTATTTGATGTGAAATTTTATCCTTTAACATATCTCCGCAAGTTTGTGGCTCTTCTGAGCAGACTAATCTTGAAATTTGTATGCTTATTTCTTGAATCTTAATCGGATTAAATCGCTCTTTGAAATTTAATGGACTCTGATATCATGTTAAGACTTGAGGTTTAGTTTTAAAAAGTCAACATTATTAAGGGGGTGTTTGATAGACATTTTTATGTAAAAATGCATTTTAGAATAGTAAATTGATGTGAAATGTGTGGTTGAAAAATAAGAAATTTTTTATTTATTTATGTGTAATATTATTTTAATAAAGAATGTGTGGTTGAAAAGAAGAGAGAAAAAATGCATTTTAAAGGAAATGACTACCAAACAGACCCTAAAAGGAGTAGCCCAAAATCTTATAAGTTGGTCTATGTTTCCATCGTTATTCAATGTGGGATTTTATCCCTTAACAGTGGAGAATGTAAGGGAGGTAGAGGTGGGATTTCGGTTGGGTTTTGTGAAGAACAACAACGAGTTTGTAAACCCCTGCCGACTGGATTTTCTGATTTCCAGCAGAGTTTTCTGATGTCACGTTTGACTTATGTGCAACGTGGGATTTCCATCCTCCATGTGCCACATTTCATTAGTTTAGGATGACAGAGATCAGTTGGGTGATGAACGGGTAAGCAATTGGATAGTTGGGTGACCAACTATATTATGATTTAATGTTCGATGAACGAGTAGTAATGCAAGCTAAAGTGAGGGAGCATTGATTAAATTTACTCCAAAAAAGGGGCACTTTTTACAACATGAAAAGCGTAAGTGGTCCGTGCTTCGGAGAGTTGTACAAGCTGCTATTTGGTGGATGTAGTTCCTGTACACCTCAACCGCAATTAAGTGTTAATATTATTATTTTTTTTGGGTGGAAAACTTTACTAAAATTCTGTTAATTTTTAATTGATTAAACTTCGAATTTAGCACATTACCTCCCAAGCAATAAGCTTACAAAGAATCATAGAATCAAGAATGAATGCTTCTTTTCATTACCCTTATTAATTTAGAGATAAGAAGAGTTCGAGTACTAGATTAGGATTGATGGTAACATTATATAACTGTTAACATGCAGTAGTGGATCTTTCGATCAACGAACTTGAAAGAAAAACATATTTATTCCATACAAACATTTATTACATTATTTCGTCTCCCAAATTGTCCGAACAAGTTTAAAGGCATGAACAATTAATACAATTGAAGAATTAAACAATACAGAAAAACCTTATTTTACACGAAATTGAATGAATGGGATATAACGATCAAGGTTTGTTGGATTTCCTATGATCTGTAACAGAATTTGTAGTGTCATTGATTTTATTTTTTTCTGTTTGTCCAGAATTTGTTTCTGAAAGTCTGTGCTGCAGCTGAGATAACAGAGCCCGATTCTCCTGGTCGAGCCGTTGTGCTTTCTTTCTTAGCCTCTCATTTTCAAGAATAATATGGCAATTCTTCAAGTACAGCTCTGTGTTCTGCTTCTCCATGCTGACTAAATTGTATTTGATCCTGAAAATAAAGCAGCCATAGTAAGTTTATTAGCTATTTTGTTGGTCGAAGCTGCAAATAAGTAACTTATGTTACTCGTAACAAAATAAGAATAATAATGTATCTGAACAAACAAGTTACTGAACTATAGGTAGCTTACCTATGAGAATATTGAGGACCACTGATTTGTACTGTTTATTAGAGACTTACATCTATATATAGAGAGTGAGAAAGAGCATAGAGATGGATCGATATACTTGAGAATTAAAGCATGAACACGAGAAGAACACCAGTTTGAGGCAAAATAAGCAGAAAATAAGCTGTCTTTTTGTCACAATAAAAGGCTTTGGTTTTGTGTTGAGGCTAAGTAACACGTGAAATTGCATTTGAGAAAAAAGTGTCAAATTCTGGGGAACAAAACCGGGTGCATTTGGAATGTTGATAGGCATGGAAGAGGGTGGGGTGGGGTGGGGGAAGAAGCATTATTCTTGCTGCCCAGAACATCAGTGGGAAGTTAAAGGGCAGTGTGTAAAGGTAATTGGGACCAGGGGCGGATCCAAAGACTTCGAACTGTGGGGTCAAAAATGAAATTTTTTTCGAATAACTTATCATTAACGAAAATAAATTCATAGGATTAATGGATTGGAGTGGATAATTAATTGGAATTTGGAACCCAAAAAAGCAAGTATCTATTTTAGATGAACAGTAAACTGGTGAACTAGTTGGGGTTTTGTGGTTTTCACAATTTTTCATAAATTCTTTTGTATTAATTTAAAAAATTTTAATTTCATCAATGGATCTCATAAACTATAATTCAAAGGCCCACAGAAAATATTGAATGTCGTGCTTCTTTTATAGATGTACTTTTTTTTTTCAAATGATTTCATAAGATTCCAATGTAGGATAATGCATTTTATAGATGCACTTCTTTTCAAATGAATTTATAAACTTCGGATGTGAAATAGTGACATAACAAAAAAGTGTTAAAAATGCCTATCAAAATCATTTTTCAAATGTATGATGACTAATTTTGATTTTAAATTCCAACTAACTAAAAATTGTAATATTCACCTTCATCTTTTCATTTATTTAATTTTTAAATTTAAATTAATTGCACTTGATTATTAATATATTAATGTTAGATATCATTTTCTATAAATTTAAACTATTTTAATTTAACAAAGCAAACTATTTTCACATGTTGATTTTTAATTTTTGAAATGTCGAAACTAATTGTAGGATAATGATCTAATTAATAAAGATAGATTTACTTTGAATTAATTAATATGAAAATTTAAAAAAAATTATTATTTTAATAGTATTTTATTATTTTTTGTATGTATTTATTGTATTCGGTTCGATCCCGATTAAATATTTTGAGTCTTGACTCTTCACCTTTTTCGAGCCGATTTTCAAAACATTGGTAAATTTTACAAAATATATGATTAAAATTAATATTTGACTTTGAAAATAAAATTCAAAAAGAAAAAATGAATTCCAATTAGAGACAAATTTACTTAGAGCCTGTTTGAGAGTGATTTTTTCCCTTCAAAAAATTAATTTTTTAATCATTATTTCATTAATTCAGCCGTCATATTTGACTTCTTCTTTCACAGGTGGAATTCACTTTTCTCCTAACAGTCAAAAAATCAATTCTCAAAATCGCTCCCAAACAGGCTCTTATTCTTATCTTTTTTTTTTTTTTTTTCTTTTTCAAGAGAACATACTCGAATGAATTGAAAGGAAAATATTTGTTTAATTTGGTAAGTCTTTAGTTGCAGTGATTTTACTCTGTAATACCGACCTTCCATGTGTGTGTGGGGCCCACGGTCAAGCTCGTGGGCTAAGCAGCACAACCCTTCTTATTATAAATTCAAGTCACCATCCTTGGAATGATGTACACATTTCATTTCTCAATTGAGATCTGCTTTATGGCCAGGGCACACGATGGAATGATGTACACATTTCATTTCTCAATTGAGATCTGCTTTATGGCCAGGGCCACGTGTGCCCTGGCCATCCCGGGGGCCATGCTATTGGCTGGAGGCCAGTGGCCAAGCAGATTAATCCTTATCAAATTCATCAACATTAATACTTCGTGTACACAGTGCCCACTCCTCTTTGATGCGACATTGATTAAAAAATTTGTGAACCCCTCGTGTGAGGGGCTGTAGATTGTACATGTTCAATGCAGAAATCAGAATGGTTCCTTTTCAACTGCCCATAATTTTCAACCATAAATATCTGTATAATAATTGTACACACAACATAGAGCGTAAAGCGTTGGGAGTTGCTAAATAAACAGAGAGATATTGAAGAATGGCAGGGGGGTGGTGGCGGGAGAACTTGAGAGAGTTGAGGCCACTGTTGCACCTTCTTTTGCCATTATGTGTGCACTGGGTTGCTGAAGAAATGACTGTTTCTGTGTTGGTTGATGTCACCACTAATGCTCTTTGTCCTGGCCAGAAAACTTGCTCTCAGGCAATTTACATCAATGGTCTGCAGCAAACGGTAAGTGAACTCTCTCTCCTTCACACACACGCGCGCGCGCGCGCCCATACATAGAAAAAAGTTCTGGGTATGGGTTCTGTTCTTTGATGATTGCTTCACTGTAAAAGTTCCTTTAGAGGGTTGAATTTTGATTATTTATGTTGATAGTACAGAGAATGGGTCTGCTACCTTGATTGAGATCTTTCTACTTTGTGAAATATATGTTTTAGTATCTGGAACATGGAATATATGAATGAGATTAAGAAATATTTGAACTATAATTCAAAATTAGTTAAAGGATTGTGGGTTTTAGGGATTATGAAGCATGTCCTTGTGTTTGTGTCAGATAAGGCAGTTGTTAAAGGAGATGAACTAGGGTTTTGTTTTTTCAATTTTGGGGTTTTTTATATAAAGAATTTATGACTCCTAATCTTATATGGGTTTCGACGGAGTTTGCCTTTCTGCAATGTCTGATCTTTAATTTTTGACCTTAAGTTAATAACTGGCCTTCTTTATGGGGGATTATTGGTTTGATCCGACTTATTTAAATGAAATGATGAAGAGAGAAAGTTTGCAACAATATATAAGAATATAAATTAGCAGCATTTCCAGATCGTGCAGATCTAGAAATGAATTAAATGATTTGTATTCAAAAGCTTAAAACTCAATTGTATCTTTTATGTAATAAGTACATTCCTTAGCTTTATTGTTTGGAAAGGCTTTTGGCTGTTCGAATATGGTGTTTACTTCTGAAACAGAGTATTGAATAGTCTGAGTCTTACTTTCTTGACACCCACATATTTATTTATTCATTTATTATATTAAAAGTAGATGGTGCAAGAAAGTCTCTATTTATCGGTTTTGAATAGATTAATTTAATTACTCAGAAAGCTGTCCTTTTGCATGCTTATCACCGTAGAGGAAAATTTTCGTTTTTATGACCATTTTAAGCATAACTTGTGGATAGGTTTTTCCTCCAATGGAAGCATTGATGTGTCTAATTTTGTCAAATTGCATCTTGTCTGATTTTGTCATAGTGCATCTTGTCAGGGTGCATCTTGACTTGTCTAATTTTGTCAAAAGTTTTCCCTTTGATTTGTTTGTTTTCTAATGTTCACTTCTGATAAATCAAACTTATGGGCCATAGAATATAAGATGCTTTCTCTACATAGCCGTATGATACATAGACGTCATTTTTTGCAGGTTTAATTAAAGCAGCTAATTAATTGATCATTAATAACTTATGGTATGGGTTAACTTCAAGATGGTATTTTATTATACCAAAAATTTTAAAAAAATAAATAAATAAAAATATTAAGCATGTGTGTGGGAAGGTGTTTCTAAGTGTTCATGCACACATTGGTCAAACAACACTTTTTGTCAAACCACTTTTTATCCATTTATTTTGTAAGATTCACAAGTACTACATACTTCTCCCCCACTCATTTACCCCTGTTTATAAACACCCAGACATACTCTAAAATTATATTATTGCACCTTGATGTTACCTGAAGTGAGAAAGCATTCATGATTGATGGAATTTTAATTCAAAAATCCATTACGCGTGATTTTTTTCTATTATGTTTGACTATCCCTTATACTTCTCTTTAAAAATGAAAAAGGAACTGAAAGTTCTGGAGCTGAGAGTGGCCCTCAGAGTTATGAGATATGTGCTTGGACCATCTAATGCCATTTTTGTGAAGTTTAAATTCATATTTTTCTCTTGGTTGTACAGATTCATGAACTTTTCCTTTTGTTGGAGTGATAAAAGTTAAATTCTAAGGACCTTATTGGAATAATTATTTAATCCATAAGTTGAGTGGACCATCTAGTTAAGGTTCATGGGGAGCATAAATCAGGCCACCACTTTTCTAAGCAAAATGGACCACCTTCCAAATTATATATCACTGTCAATAGATGCAATACTTTTTTAATGCATATTTTCAGTACTTTCCTGTTATCTTTGCATGTATTCTTCTGTTTTACGTGAGATATCTCTACTGCTTTGGAAGAAGAAATAGTTGTCTACTTGTACCAGATTCTCAAGTCTAATGGGCACAGTAGATTACGATGAATGTTGAACAAAACAATTTCGCAACCTTGTGAAATCTAAGAAAGGATACATGGCATACAAGGTGAATGACTGTGGAGGCTGCTGGATTGTTTACATTTTGCGGTTTGGGGGTGAGAGGTTGTTGGATTTGAAAGGAATCAATATTAATATGGAAAAATACGGTATACTTATGGGAGATCGTATGACACGATGTATGATGGCTGTAAGGGGCTTATATGCATATGAACCTTACCAGAATATAATGTACAACTCTACGCAATATAAAATATTCTTTCAAATAAGAATAAGTACACAGATTTTAAGTGCAATTACTTGACATAGCTGCGCGTTGTTGCTATAATTTTACTACTTATAATGATGCCCTCCCATCAAGTTTTAGCCCTGCATTTTTACTTGTAGGTTGTTGGGATATTCAAGATGTTTGTACTTCCGCTCTTAGGACAGCTTGCTGATGAGCATGGGCGTAAACCGCTGCTTCTTCTCACTGTATCTACAACAATTATTCCATTCAGTATGTTTCTTTGTGCACCTGTTTTTTGTACACTACTTCTTTACTATATGAAGAAATTTATACCAAATGGAAAATCTAGCAGATTTCATTTTGGATTCAACTGTGGCAATTACATGATAATGCTATGCCTATGGATTAACACTTCAAAAATTGTTTTCACTAACAGTATTAAGTGTACAAACTGCCTTTGGAATAGAAAATGACAAGGTACTGGTTTTAGACAAATAATCTGGCTGATGCAAGTTAGAAGCCTTACTAAATTCTTCTTATTAGGAACATCAACCTCAATTCTACGAGCATTATGAAGATGAAGATATGTCACACAACTTCATGTTTTCTCTTGCTCTTGTAGAATCTCCATCCAACTATAAACAGATACATTAGGAATCAAAATATGGATTGTTTTCAAGAAATACTTACCGAAAAGATTTACGACACCTTTATTATATGAACACGCTAGCATTAGAGTTTTGAATACAGCAAAAACATATGTTCAAACTTGTAAATTCTGCCAATAAAATTGAGACTAAGAGTTGCCTTCTTCCAAATTTTTCTTAGAAATTATTATTTCTAGTATAACCCTAAGCCATACTCAGTCTACACATATTTCAATCTCTTCCAAATTTAACCTCTGCAAAATTCCTTCTTGTGCTGTTGACCTCTTGGATATATTTGGCCTGTGAAACATTGTTGCATAATCCAGATATAAATATATTTTAGATTAGGCATAAGGTTTGATCATCTTATCAATATTTTGTAGTGCCTGTTTTATTACTAACATCAACTAATCAAAGTACCAATTCCAATTAACTAAATACAAAAAGTGCAATGTTTATGAAGGTTATGATTCATGCATTATTGTCGTCACCAATGTCAGCAATTTTCTATTTTGTTTGTGAAATATATTTATTTTTTAATAATATTTCCAGCTTTACTTGCTGTTGATCAATCAAAAGGATCTGTTTATGCCTATTATGTGCTCCGGACAATCTCTTATATCATAAGTCAGGGGAGCATTTTCTGCATTTCTGTTGCTTATGCAGTAAGTCATTCCGTACTTCTGTGAAACAAGAATTGGGAGTTATACAAGAATCAAAGTATACCAACCTTTTTTGAGTATCTTGCAGGCAGATGTCGTGGATGACAGTAAGCGGCCTGCAGCTTTTAGTTGGATCACAGGCCTGTTCTCTGCATCCCATGTCACAGGGAATGCCTTAGCACGTTTTCTTCCAGAAGGTTACATTTTTGAGGCATGTTCTTTACAGAACTTTCAGCATTTTTTATTTTATTTTTTAATTTTTTGGTTATCTTCATTGTTATTACTTCGTAATTTACTGCTAAAAACTCCAATTTCAGGTCTCAATAGCTCTATTGATCTTTGTTCCTGTTTACATGGCACTGTTCCTGACAGAAACAGTAAGGCCAACTCAAAAAGCAGACCAGCATATTCCTTTGTTAAATAAAGCATTTAATGTTGTTCAGGAACGATATTACTCAATGAAAAATGCTGTTATCATTGTTACCAGCAGGTAATTTTGCATGATATTTCAAGTGGTTTCATTGTTCTTGAGCTTACAAACACTGAAAAGCTTCCTCTTGTTCAGAATGAAGGAATCAGGATACAATTCATACAAGCAATTTACAATACAGAAAGATTATAATTTGTAGGCATGTAAGCTTGCTAAACAGTTTCAGTTTTGTTCTCAGCTCGACGCTTAAATGCATTTCTCTTGTTTCCTTCTTCTATGAATTGGGAATGTCTGGCATCAGCAGTGTCTTACTGGTATGTATCTAACAATTTAAATTCGATTTATTCGTGAACAATTAGATTGAGGAGGGATTCCATTGGCAATAATATCCGCTAATTCTTGCAAATTTTCTTCTTTTATCCTGCAAATAGTACACACTTCTTTTCTTTATAAACTGATACACAGAAACAGATATGCAATCCTGCGTTCTGTTAACTGCATCAAATTGTTCCGAAAGAAAATGTTTCCTACTTTCTTTCTCAATCTTTTGGAAACAAAAAATGTTCCCAACATGTTTCAAAAATTGTTGACAGATGCTACAACTGGTGTCTGTGATGTTGAAAAAATGGTGATTCTTATTCACAAACAATTGGGGTTGCAGACATCAGTTTTTTATTATGAATTTCTGAGAGTTTGTGATGTAAACCAATTAATTTATCTGTTACATGCCTGGAATCCTTTTAACTTTTCTTTCACAACCGTGCAGTATTATTTAAAATCAGCATTTGGCTTCAACAAAAATCAATTTTCAGAAATCTTGATGGTGGTGGGTGTCGGTTCAATTTTTTCTCAGGTACTTCAGAGATATTCTCAGAAATTTTTTCAATAGTTTATGCTGAAAGTAGAAAACACTCTGACAAAGCTTAGTTAGCTCAGTAAAAGATATATGTTCTACTATCTTGTTATCTGCAGCATTTGTTATTGCTTTAATTACTTGATCTTGGTGGTAATTGAATGAAAAGTACTGCAGGGGATTTTAAGATTCCATTGCCCTAAACTGAAATTACATGTTGTTCGGTACGGTCCCCTTATGAGAAAGTTTTCTAGGAGAAAACAGATTAACTGTTTTTTTCTTGTACAACCATTAAATCTGAAGTCTATGTGCGTTGAAGATGTAACTTAAATAAGTTTGTTCCTGGACGTGGGCATGTTGAGGACATAAATGAAATAAATAAGTTTGTCCTCTTTCTATCAGCTTACAATTTTAGATGTGGTGGTTTAACAATGTGAACAGTTGAACCAAAATCCTTGTGCATCCCATAAGCTATTCCCCCTACTTGTGCACATACGGCCGATCCTGAAATTTGTCAGGCCCTGCCATTTCTCTAATTCATTTTGCGGCTTTTATGCATTTTTCAAGATTCTGGTTCTTCCCCTTCTCAATCCACTGGTTGGAGAGAAACTGATACTCTGTGCAGCCTTGCTCGCTTCCATAGCATATGTAAGTTCCCTCGGAATACACAACTTGAGCTATTGCAGCTGGGAACTTTTCTTTTTTATGCTGATTTTGTGAAAGAATCTCGTCTTACAAAAGGGTTTTGTACAGGGACTGCTTTATGGCTTGGCCTGGGCATCTTGGGTACGTTGACTCGCTAACATCTAGATGCTTGCATACTTAAGTCCCTTTTCTTCCACATTTCTTTTTGTTGAGCTTTACTAAACAATATTAAATGAAAAAAAGAAACTAAAGTCTTGTCCATTGTATTGTATTGTTCATTCAAACATGCAATTAGTGCTTCTATGCAACTTGTAACTCATTTTTTCTGTTGCAACTTTGACAGTAATCTATATGTTACAGTTGATAACTGCTAGCTATTCCTGAAACAGGTGCCCTATTTAAGTGCTTCGTTCGGGGTAATCTACATCCTCGTGAAGCCTTCTGTAAGTCATTTTCTGAAATTCTATTTTCAGTAGTGTATTAAGAAATTCGGTGGTGTTAGTTGTGAAAAAATAAATTGATTTCAGTCATCTTTTATTCATTATTTCTGTTAATGACAGACTTATGCAGTTGTATCCAAATCATCAAACTCAGCGGATCAGGTTTGTGATCACTAATACAAAATAGCGTTCTCAATGATGATACCTGCTTTCAAGAAATCTATGCATCACAAAACAGAACTAAAGTACCTTTCGGAATTAAAAACTTCTAACCTGAAGGAGAAATATAATTGATAAATATATTATCCACTTTACAAGAAACTTAGGCCCTGTTCTCTTTACCGTTTTCGGGCCGTTTTCTGTTTTCGATTTTTCAAAACGGTGAAAACGTGTTCTCTTTCCTGTTTTCGAAAACGAAAAAAAAAATTTGTGAAGAAAACACAAAATGACTTTTTTGTCGTTTTGGGCATTTTTAGTGTAAAACTTAAAAAAATTGAAAACGCGGGGAACACCTTTTATTTATTTATTTATTTATTTATTTTTTTGAGGAGGTGGTGTGGTGATTCTCAAAATTTCAAAAAAAATTAAAAATTAAATTATTTATTTATTTATTTTGAGGTAGTATTGTGGCGATTCTCAAAATTTCAAAAAAAAAAAAAAATTCATTTTTTTGTTTTGAGAAACTAACAAAAAGAACGCATTTTCAACAATTTCAAAACAAACACTCAAAACACAAAACTCAAAATGAATTCAAAACTCAAAACACAAAACTGAAATACAAAGAGAACACCCCCTTAATATTTCAATCACTCCTTGGGTGATATAATTGCAGAATTAAACAAAAACTAATTCTATCCTCTGTCAGAGTTAAGCTGTCAAGCGAGCAGTGGACTTCTGTTCATTTTGACATAGAATTTTGAGTCAAAAAAAAATTAATGAAATGAAAAAGAGCCTTAAGCATATACTAAATCCTGATTCGTATACCCCTTTCAATCGGACTTCAAAATATGGAAAATCCTCTGTCAATATTGCTTCTAATTGAAATATCTCTTTTTTCTCATATTTCCTATTTTTCAATCAGGGGAAAGCTCAAGGATTTATTGCTGGCGTGCAATCCATTGCAAGTTTATTATCTCCACTGGCAATGACTCCGTTAACCAGTGAGTTAGATTTTCTTTTTCTGCCCCTCTTGTAGAAAGATCACAACCATTTCAACTGAACTTTCTTCACTCTGGATTTTATCTTATTCCAGCATGGTTTCTATCCAGCAATGCTCCTTTTGACTGTAAAGGCTTCAGTATTATATTTGCATCTATAAGCATGGTAAGCTTGTACATTTCCTTAATACATGTCACATGTAGAAGATTACATTTGAGTCTTGTGGTGCCCGATATGATCATATGATCCCATTTGAGAGTCTTGTTGTGACCGATAAGATCATATGATCACAATTAGGAGTTTTGTTATGACCAATAAAATCATATAATTATCATGATAGGATAAGTGAAAGTCTTGTCAAAAGTGGTATGATCGATCGCATCATTGCAATAATAGAATTTTGACGTATGATAATATTGTTTTGATGAGAGGATCATATGATCCCTTCTAAGAGTCTTCTTGTGACTGAACTGATCATGTGATTTTTATCATAGGATCATATGATTCCATTTGAGTCTTACTGTTACTTGTATGATTCTAATGATTCTCAATTGTTTCACTTTTAGGTCATTTCCCTGTGTTTTGCCTGGACTCTAAAACTAGATGCTCCATCCAACAGGATATTAGAGGACAACGCGGAAAGCATTGAAGCCCCTCTTTTATCATAAGCATCACCGAAACTTGCCAACATGTGTGACATGTTCAATAAATTAGATTAGACAATACTGGACGTTACCGAGGAAGAAAAATAAGTTAAAATCTTGTCCATTGTATATTGTAATCTTGTCATGTGTATCATACATGGCCATATAGTCTACTAATGATGCCATGGTGAATGCTTTTCTTCTCCTTTAAAAGTTGTACATGTGGATGAGGCAGTTATATTAGTTTTGTTAGTATTCACGAGAGCGTTTCTCTACATATAGATGTTCTCGTTCAAGTAAAATTTCTCTTTCTTTGTATTTTCTAATTAGATTTTTTGCACTTCAGTTTCCAACTTTTTTGGAATGTTACTAATCTATGCTCAACCATTTTTTTAGCACTAGACATCCTCAACATTTTTCTTATTTGCAAATCACGTCCCTATTGGCAGGGTGTGTCTGTTTGATGGTTAAGGTCATATGAAAGACAATTTCGCTGTTCATTAATTTGAATAAACAAAAATAAAAAATAAAAATGACCGGAACCTACGAGACTAAGGTAACAACGGACGAACATTTCTTACCAATACAAATCATCAACTCTTGAATCCACAGAACACGAGATTCATCCACAAAGAATGAAATTAGCGACAAAGGAATCGATAACAGAGATTGATTTAATCAAAGGAGTGGCAAGAAGTAAGTGAAGGCAGACTTAAGAAAAAAAATTTCAAAGAGAGGGCATCCACCGTTTTTTCTTTTCAATTTTTTGTGGGGATTCAGGCTTCAAGCATGAAACAAATAGAGTTTATTAAATGGTCCGAGCCTCTTGATCTGGAAAAGGAAGAAATTGGGATGTCGGGCTTATACCACTACTAAACAACTCTTCTTCTCGTTCTTCAGCATGCTACAACACTGACTTGATTGCGACACTAAGATCTACCACCATTCCTCCTTTTAAAGACCAAGCTTATGGAAGGTGTATAAACTTTCGAAAGAGAAAACTCATGCTTTTGATGCAAAAGTTCAGATCAAGAAATAATGTGTGGATTTATACAAGTCAATTCTCCAAAAATATGCACATCATCTTTGCATTTCCTTTCACCATATTGCCCTTGTTTGATTTTGGAAAACATAATAATAATAATAATAGATTTTTTAGTGGACTTTGATAAAAGTTACTCCCCTGTCCCAATTATATATGTTTGTTTCGTTTTTCACAAAGATTGATAAATCTTCTTTAATGTCATTGAAAAATTAATTTTTGTCAAGATCTTTCTTAATTTACTTCTATTTAATTTTTAGTATATATTATTATTGTTGGAATTAGTAAAGAATTTGAATAATTTAATTTGAAGAAGAAGAAATAAGAGTTATTTCATGTTTCTAATAAGTGAGAAATGTGTGTATTTGGATGATTTCAAGAAGTTGGTATATTAAATGAGGAAAATTGAATAAGGGTATATTGGTAAAAGAACAAAGTAAAATATTTTAAATTAAAAAACAAGCTTATATATCTGAGACAAAAGAAAAAAAAAACTCAGCTTATATAATTGAGACGGGGAGAGCAATAAAATGTGTAATTAAAAAGTCGATAAAAATTGTGAATCTCCATGATTAAAATTTATTATTGACTTTGACTTGACTTAAATTTTTATCTAGTTTTTTTTAACTAAATCCTTGGTAAAAGAACAAAGCAAAATATTTTAAATTAGGAAACAAGCTTATATATCTGAGACAAAAGAAAAAGAAAACCCAGCTTATATAATTCAAACGTGGGGAGCAATAAAATGTGTAATTAAAAAGTCGATAAAAATTGTGAATCTCCATAAAATATGTGATTAAAATTTATTATTGACTTTGACTTGACTTAAATTTTTATCTAGTTTTTTTTAACTAAATCCAATGAGGCTTTCCAAATAAGAAATTGAGAACATATTTTGTACTTATAATTAAAAATAAGTTAAATATACTTTTAATTAATTTATTTTGCCTAATATAATTTTCAGGATTTTTTTTTTATTTAAATAACTACTCTAGTCTCTAGGTGGCTTGATTTATCAATAATAGCAAAATAGAATGAAAGTCAAACTTGTACTTTGAAGACGGAGTATACTATTTAGCTAAAGAACTACATTTCGTGTTGATAATCATATCTCTAGAAAATACTTTTTAACTTACTTTAAATAGGGGGAAAAAAGTATATACAAAAATAAATAAATAAATAAATAAATAAATCTCTGGCGTGGTTAATCTTACATCAATTACAATTCACAAATAATCCTGATTATTATTATATTAATGATTTGCAGAAAAATGTGAAATTTAATTAGGTGACTAAACAAATATCAATATTAGAATATTCATCCCTCTCTCTCTCTCTCTCTCTCTCTCTCTCTCTAAACAAATATCAATATTAGAATATTCATCCCTCTCTCTCTCTCTCTCTCTCTCTCTCTCTCTCTC